TGCTTTGCAGAATATATAACAGCTGTTGTTCAGAACTTTTGTTTATTTTTAAAAGATGTATTTGTTGGCTGCAGTCGTGCGATCAGACTTCCTCAGACACAGCTCAGTTCAAAGGTGCTGGAGTGGAAAAATGCTGCTGGGCTCCAAATGTTTCTCAAAACTACAACAGCCGCTACAAGACGTGTTTGCATGTCAAGTACACAGCTGTAAATATGCAGCACACATCTGTACCTGCAGACAGACACTGTGTGTTAGCCTGGGGTAGCTAATGGAGCGTGATGACAGCAGTTTGCTCTGTGGATGCACGGAGTCTGGACACGGACCTTATCCAACAGCTTTGGACAGCCAGAGCTTATCACCCAGTATCAGTGTTGTGGATGAGATGGAGCGGACAAAGCATTGCAGGTCAGATAACTGTCCAGGACTACATGGCACTGCACGATGCTGATGTTTGCTGTGTCGAGTCCTCTCACAGAGCTGGATGTCTCTGTGCCTGATGTGCATCAGTGTGGAGGCAGGAGTCCTGGGAAAGGTCCCAATGTTATGCTGCCTGCAGCACTTTGGGTTGATCCTCTTCCTGTTTTGGCTCTTGTGTTACAGTCCTTACACAATATATCAGCGAGACATGTTCTGTCTGCTGTCCACTCCTGAACCACAGGCTGTGGTGATCCTGTGGGATGCTGGTGGGGACACACAACCAGCTGACATGTGGCGCGTCTCCGATAAGGTCATAAAATATTCTTAAGGTCAAACAGCATTTCATAACCCCTCCGTTAAATAAGATGAAGCCATCCCTCGTTTCTTTTCCAAGCCCAGCACACAACGCTGATGTGCTTCATTCATTCGTCTCCTCATCGACATAATGACGGGACCTTCAGCCGCCAGCGCTTTTTAAAGCCACACTGTTGAAATCACAGGCTGCTAACATTTCACTGCCATTGAGTAGAGTACAGCAAAATGTCCAAGAGACTCCGTATAAGTGAAGAAAGAGGAGCTCAGAGTGATAAATCTGTGCACAGCTGAACATCATGCAGGACACGAGCATGTTTTTGTTGTCTGAAGCTCATCATCCTCTTTAAATGCACAGTTAGTAATAATTACAAGTTTTAACAAGTTTTATATGGAGCACATATCCTGCTGTATTCAAGCTCAGTGCAGTCCTCAGATTTAAGATGAATGTCAGCACAATAACACAATAACATGCACACATGAAGACAGGAAATCAAGCTAAAAAACACACAAGAACAAAAAGAGATGAAGAAGACGTGCAAGAAAACAAAACAAGGTCCTCCAACAAAGATCACCACTTAAACATGTTCTTACCTGAACAGCTGGCACTTCCTTCCTTCTCCTTTCAACTGCCTCATTGAAAGAATCTGGCTCCTTTCTGGGTAACAAACTCCGCCTCCGAGAGACAAGTAGAGACGCCTTCGTCCTCTTACAGCCACTGTGGGTTCAGTAACCAGAGTGGAAACACTCTGACACACTCTACAGTCTGTAGTAGTTTGTAATTACTGAACAAACGCACAGATTAAAGGCTTCACAGGGCACTAATGTAAAGAAGCGCCTCTGGGGTAAATATGACCTGGATAGTAGCTGCTGCTTACCTGCAGGGGGCAGCACCATGTTCCAGTTGTAGCCACACTTTTAAGCTTAAATTTCAAAACTTACATTTTAACTACTGTTTTTTAATCAATTTTAAATCATGCTTTTTATTTGTTTTGGATTTTAATGTCTCTGTAAAGCACTTTGAATCACCTTGTTGTTGAATTGTGCTACATAAATAAACTTGCCTCAGTAATAAACTGTCTTCTAAAGCAGCCACATATTCATAAAGATGCTTTCATTGCATGTATTTCTGCATAAATGTATCAAGACTGAGCTATTAATGACTGGTCACATGGCCATGTGTTGTTGTGGTTGGTTGTTCAGAGCGGAGCAGCACCGTGCTTCATTAAACTCCACGTGAAGGTATTTTGGAGGGGAAGTAGCATTCCTCAGGTTCACTAAGCTCTGACAGCTCCTGGGGTTCCTGCACACACTGTCACGGTGCCGGGTGGACTGTCTGCAGCAGCGCAGCAGAAGTGCTGATATCTGCCCCTCTCGGATAAAGGTGGAAACCATGAAAGTGAGAATGGCCGGACGAATACGTTTGGAGGTTTGGGATGTGGCGCTGGGTTTCCTCCTGCTGTGCTCTGTGACGGGCTTGTTGTTGATGGATCAGCAGAGAAACGCAGAGGATGAGCAGGAGCTCGACAAAGCTATTCTGGAAATGCTGCATATCAACAAAGTGTCAGCAAGCCACCATGCTAAACCACATCCTTACATGAGGAAGATCTACCAGAACCTGGACTCGCTGGAGGTGCAGGATTTGGGGAAATCAGACGGGACGCTGGTGCAGGGGTTTCGGAGTGTCAGCGGTAAGGATTTCAAATAGTAATCCTTTACATGTTGCTTTGACAATAACGATGTAATCAAAGACCGTGATCTGCAGTAAAGCAAGAAAACAGCAAGTTCCCCGTGTGTGGATGAGGAACTGGAACATGGTGTCATGTAAGGGTTCATATGTTTCATGAGCATTTGGAAAACTTGCAGAGCGCCTGTGGCCACAAACATCACCGTGCAGGGCTTCAAGGTCCTGCCTGCACGTCCATCTGACAACACATGAACTGTAAGGGTTCTGCTGCCAATCACAGTGTCGTGCTTGCAGTAATTAATATTAATGAAATGCAGTCAGTCCCTTTCACACGTGCAAACCTCAAGTCAACATTAAAATGTTACCTTCAAAAGCAGCTCAATTAGTTGGATATTGTAACGTTTAAGAATAATCAGAGATCCAATCCAGCAGTTTTAAGGTGGAATCTTTAGTTATCAACAGGTTAAAGCACCATTTGTGCCAAAGCAGCTAAGATGAGAAACATGCACATTATTTCAGTCTGTTAATCTCACAGAGACAGTTCAGCAAATCAGCTGAAGTAGCATTATTCAGCACAGACACTGGGAAATCCCACTGCCGCTCCACAGACCTGTAGCACAACAAACTGGTTCTATAGCTGTTTTTTGAATTCCCCCTTTGTCGTGCAGACTCACTCAGAGCTTCATGTATCCTCAGAGCTCAGTATAGTTATGTGAACTCATCATCATCAGCGTGGCTACAGGACAGCTTTGTAGCTTTGGTCACTTTAAATGTAGGCGTGAACATTAGCTTATAGCTGTGCTCCCTCTGAACACAGCTGGACATAGACAGGTAACATCTGGATCTGAAGTCCAACTGGACCAGAACAGGAACAGAAGTGTTTTAACAAACTAAAATAAGCGCATCAGCTCCTTGGCTGGTAACGAGCAGACGAGCGGATCAGAAGCTTTTATCATCTGCAGTGATTTTCGATACATTAGTCGATGTTTAGAGGACAAATAAAAGTAAGCAGACAGTTTGTGAGCCACAGCAACATCCCTGCATTATCAGACCAGCTTGAACTTTGCTATATTTCACTTAAGGTGTGTTTTAAATTTGCATCACTGACGTGTGTCATGAAGTAGCCTCTGCATCTTCTTTCTGCTGCAGCAACAAAAGTCTTATTATTCACGAGAAACCCTGACGTTGCATGTTTGGCCTTGAGTTTGGACTTCCGTCATGTCCTCCCTCTGATAGTGTTTCCTTTAGTTTCTCTGCTCTTTCAAATGTCGTCACATGCAGACAGATCGATCTTCAGATGTTTTAATCCGTCCACTGAAATCTGCCCATTGCTGCTGCTGCAAAGTGCTGCAAAGTGCTGCAAAGAGAAAAAAGAAGTGACAAAGATGACATGCAGTGCTGACTCACCTGATCCACTGCTGATTTTTCTATTTTTAATTCTTCAAATGAATGACTCTTTGGTGCACATTTACAATCATCTTTGAAGAATACATTTCATTGATTCTGAGCCTTTGCACGGGTGGAGCTGTGTGAGTCCTTCTAACACGCTCTGTATTTGATGCTTTGCAGGCCCACAGGGATGGATCTGGTTCAACATCACCAGCTTGAGCCCCTTCATGACGGGTGCAGAGCTGGTCCTGTTCAGGAAAGCCCTCCATCCTCAGCCGCTCAGCGTGTCCGTCACTCTGCACGGCGTCATCGCTTCACGAGGACGTCTGGACGAACGCCCCGTCCTGGAGGAGAGACAGCTGGCCCTGGACCAGCGGCCGCCGTCTGGCTACGACGTCTTCGATGTGTCTGCCGTGCTGACTGTGAAGCCCGTGGAGGCTCTGGGCTTCCAGCTGCGCTACACGGACGAGAGCGGGAGTCTGGTGCTCCACGAAGCCCTGACACAGAGTCTGTACTGCCTGCACAGAGGCTCTCTGAGCGAACCCTTACTGGTGCTCTACCAGGCACACCCTCGCGCTCTAACATCAGTCTAATGTAGGCGGTGCCGCACACTTATGGCTTTAAAGCTACTTCACACATCACAGTCACGTAGGAGCACGGCAACACTGAGGCGGAGCTTTGGAACATTTCTGAGGTTAAATTGTGCTCAGAGATTTTTAGGTAACGGGTACATTTGCATTTTGTTTTTGTAAGACTGTTTAATATTAATAATGCACATGTAGTTATTCCCTGGGAAACAGCTCGTGTGCTGAATCAGTATGAGGGAGCTGACACTGTCGCCTACATCAGAGGATGATGTAAACATCAGCAGCCGTCTGCAGGCGGCTCTGTTCTGTGTCAGCGGAGCTGCTACGTCAGCAGGTGGAGCTCTGTGGTGTAAAGCTGTTACTGTTGACTGTCTTTACACTCACACAGATCCTCTGCCGCTCACGCCTCACATGAAACGACTGTTCCTAAATGTTCTTCTGCCTATTACATCACTTCTACCCATTGTTGCTTTGACCTTTAACCTCTCTTGAAACTGAACTGAAATAAACCATCAGCATAAAGAATGAACTGTGGCTGTGCTTGGTTTCTGCTGACTGTGGTTACCATGATGGAAAACCAGTCAACATGTTAAAGGAACTAGTCAAAGGGAAAATGAGTTGGTGAGGAAACAATATGTGTACACATTCTTCCTTGATATACACAAAAGGAAATGAAACGTTTTAAGGCAGACGACAGATCGTTGGAGAGATTTGAAACTCACTTTAACAGAACAGAAACAACACATCGGGAACAGAGAGAGAAGTGCCAGCATTGTCACGGCTCGTAGGAGGAGCTGTGTGGTTCTTCTGATGTGAGGAAGCTTCATTAATGGAGGTGGCAAATACACAACGAAAAACTGAACTGGGTAAACCTAAACTGGGAAAACTAAAGAGCAAACCTTAACGAAAGATATAACAGAATAATATAAAGAAACACAAAACACCGAGTCGTCAGACTCAGGACCGTGACGAGCAGGTATTACAGGTATTGCACTGCAGTGGTTTGTATCATATCTATCTAATAGACTCCA